CCTCTTCCCTATGGGTGGGGGTTCCTCTCTCCAACAGCCTCTTTCAATTTAAAATTGGTACAGCTGTGTGTGGCTATGCCTGCATAGTTGTGTCATTCATTCACAGATCGGTGAATGAAGAAACTACAAGTCCCATCTCCCACTGCGGCAGACGGCTTGTAGTTCTCAGTGGACTACAAGTGAGCTGATCAGTTGCTGGTAGTCCAGCAACAATCTCTACAGATTTCAAATTGAAAGGCCGGAAAGAAGTTATTTTCATACAAGGACAAATATTAGGGATTTAAAATGTCATTTTGTCTAGGTAGGGTGCGGGTCGTGTTTACAGTGGAACTTTACTTACAATATAAACATTTGCGGACAGACAGGCTTTTTCATTCAGAAAATAAATTACATGTCCCTTCTGAAATAATTGCGCGTTCACAATATTGGCATCTGCTGAGATGAATGAACTACTGCACATGCATAGGAGTTGTGTCATTACAACCCGTCCAATCAAGATGGAAGAAAACTTGAACCTAAAAAAAGAGCTAGCAAAGATGTCACGCAGAGATTGCGGACACCTGATAGGAGTTATACCCCTTCCTAAGGCTTGCCATACACTATACAATTTTCTGTCCAATTTCCTTTAGATTTACTTTCAACTGTGTAGTGAAAGGGCCCGCCTAATTGGATACAATTGAAAGTGTTGTTAGGTTTGACCTCCAATTATATGGTTTTTGGTAAATCTAAACCAAAAATCTCAAGAGAATTGTATAATGTATGACTGACTTAAGGCTGGCCATACACTATACAATTTTTTTTAGAAAATTGCTTTAGATTTACCAAAAACCTTATAATAGGAGGTCAAACCTAACAACACTTTCAATTGTATCCAATTAGGCGGGCCCTTGCACTACACAGTTGAAAGTAAATCTAAAGAAAATTTGGCAATAAATTGTATAGTGTATGGCAAGCCTTAGGCTGGCCATACATTATACAATTTTCTTGATATTTTTGCTTTAGATTTACCAAAAAACATATAATATGAGGTCAAACCTAAACAACACTTTCAATTGTATACAGTTAGGCAGGTCCTTGCACTTCATAGTTGAAGGTAAATCTAAAAGAAATTGGGCAGAAAATTGTATAGTGTATGGCCAGGGGCGGACTGACAACTCTTGGGGCCCCCGGGCAATAGGGGATCATGGGGCCCCTGTATCCTGCCCAAACTCAAAAAAAGCCTATGAAAAAGGTACCAGGGGCATCTCATGGGGCCCCCTACTGACCCCGGGCCCTTGGGCAGTGCCCAGGTTTCCAAATGGTCAGTCCGCCCCTGTGTATGGCCAGCCTTACTATTTTCAAAATTTAAAAAAAAGTTTTGCATTTAGTCCTACTTTAAGCCCTGATACTGGACAGTGTCCAAAATCCAGAGACCATCCTGCAGAATCCAGAACACTTGCCAACTATAGTAAAGGGGAAATACATGATCAGCCACAGGTTTATGCTCACTGACAGGTAAAGTGAATAACATTGAGTATCTCATTACAATGTCATCTGAAGGTTGGTGGGATATAATAGGCGGTAAGTGAACATGCTGTCTATAAAGTCGATGTGTTGAAAGCAATAAAATAGGCATCATAGTTTGTTGTGTATGGGGTGCGTAGCCACAGGTTACTCAGGGTGCCCATGCTGACCCACGTCCACAGCCAAAAGGTCCTACAAATGTCAGAGCTGGACCATGGAGCAATGGAAGAATCTGACCTGGTCCGATAAGTAATGTTTTTATTTACATCATGTGGATGGCCAGGTGAAGGTGTGTTGCTTACCCGGGGAAAAGATGGCACCAGGATGCATTGTGGGAAGAAGGCAAGCCGGCAAAGGCAGGGTGATGCTTTGGGCAATGTTCTGCTGGGAAGCTGGGAGTCCTGCCATTGATGTGGATGTTGCTTGACACATACCACCTTCCTAAACATTGTTGGTGACCAAGTACACCCCTTCATGGAAAGGGTATTCCCTGATGGCAGTGTCCTCTTTCAGCAGGATAATGCACCCAGCCACACTGCAAAAATATTTAATGAATGGTCACAACGAGTTTCAGGTGTTGACTTGGCCTCTAAATTCTCCAGATCTCAACCCAATCGGGTACCTGTGGGATGTGCTGGAGAAACAAGTATGAATCATGGAGGCCCCACCACTGATGGCTTGGTGCCAGACACCACAGCATACCTTCAGTGGTCTAGTGGCGTCCATGCCTTGACAGGTCAGAGCGGTTTTGGTGGGAAACGAAGACCTACTCAAGATTAGGTGGGTGGTCATGAAGTTACGCCTGATCGGTATAGAACAGGGGTGGGCAACTGTGGCCCTCCAGCTGTTGTAGAACTACAAGTCCCTTGAGGCATTGCAAAACGGACAGTTACAAGCATGACTCACAAAGGCAGAGGCATGATGGGACTTGTAGTTCACCAACAGCTGGAAGGCCACAGTTGCCCACCCCTGGTATAGAACTTACTGCTTATGAAATTCATTGTACACAAGCGATCCCGTGTGTGACATGAGGATACACCATACAATTGTACACAAGCGATCCCGTGTGTGACATGAGGATACACCGTACAATTGTACACAAGCGATCCCGTGTGTGACATGGGGATACACCGTACAATTGTACACAAGCCATCCCGTGTGTGACATGAGGATACACCGTACAATTGTACACAAGCCATCCCATGTGTGACATGAGGATACACCGTACAATTGTACACAAGCCATCCCGTGTGACATGGGGATACACCATACAATTGTACACAAGCCATCCCGTGTGTGACATGAGGATACACCGTACAATTGTACACAAGCCATCCCGTGTGACATGGGGATACACCGTACAATTGTACACAAGCCATCCCGTGTGTGACATGGGGATACACCGTACAATTGTACACAAGCGATCCCGTGTGTGACATGAGGATACACCGTACAATTGTACACAAGCCATCCCGTGTGTGACATGAGGATACACCGTACAATTGTACACAAGCCATCCCGTGTGTGACATGAGGATACACCGTACAATTGTACACAAGCCATCCCGTGTGTGACATGAGGATACACCGTACAATTGTACACAAGCCATCCCGTGTGTGACATGAGGATACACCGTACAATTGTACACAAGCCATCCCGTGTGACATGGGGATACACCGTACAATTGTACACAAGCGATCCCGTGTGACATGAGGATACACCGTACAATTGTACACAAGCGATCCCGTGTGACATGGGGATACACCGTACAATTGTACACAAGCGATCCCGTGTGACATGGGGATACACCGTACAATTGTACACAAGCGATCCCGTGTGACATGAGGATACACCGTACAATTGTACACAAGCGATCCCGTGTGTGACATGGGGATACACCGTACAATTGTACACAAGCGATCCCGTGTGACATGAGGATACACCGTACAATTGTACACAAGCCATCCCGTGTGTGACATGAGGATACACCGTACAATTGTACACAAGCCATCCCGTGTGTGACATGGGGATACACCGTACAATTGTACACAAGCGATCCCGTGTGACATGGGGATACACCGTACAATTGTACACAAGCCATCCCGTGTGTGACATGAGGATACACCGTACAATTGTACACAAGCCATCCCGTGTGACATGGGGATACACCGTACAATTGTACACAAGCGATCCCGTGTGACATGAGGATACACCGTACAATTGTACACAAGCGATCCCGTGTGACATGGGGATACACCGTACAATTGTACACAAGCGATCCCGTGTGACATGGGGATACACCGTACAATTGTACACAAGCGATCCCGTGTGACATGAGGATACACCGTACAATTGTACACAAGCGATCCCGTGTGTGACATGGGGATACACCGTACAATTGTACACAAGCGATCCCGTGTGACATGAGGATACACCGTACAATTGTACACAAGCCATCCCGTGTGTGACATGGGGATACACCGTACAATTGTACACAAGCGATCCCGTGTGACATGAGGATACACCGTACAATTGTACACAAGCCATCCCGTGTGTGACATGAGGATACACCGTACAATTGTACACAAGCCATCCCGTGTGTGACATGGGGATACACCGTACAATTGTACACAAGCGATCCCGTGTGACATGGGGATACACTGTACAATTGTACACAAGCGATCCCGTGTGCGACATGGGGATACACCGTACAATTGTACACAAGCGATCCCGTGTGACATGAGGATACACCGTACGATTGTACACAAGCGATCCCGTGTGACATGGGGATACACCGTACGATTGTACACAAGCGATCCCGTGTGACATGGGGATACACCGTACGATTGTACACAAGCGATCCCGTGTGTGACATGGGGATACACCGTACGATTGTACACAAGCGATCCCGTGTGACATGGGGATACACCGTACGATTGTACACAAGCGATCCCGTGTGACATGGGGATACACCGTACAATTGTACACAAGCGATCCCGTGTGACATGAGGATACACCGTACAATTGTACACAAGCGATCCCGTGTGACATGGGGATACACCGTACAATTGTACACAAGCCATCCCGTGTGACATGGGGATACACCGTACAATTGTACACAAGCCATCCCGTGTGACATGGGGATACACCGTACAATTGTACACAAGCGATCCCGTGTGACATGAGGATACACCGTACGATTGTACACAAGCGATCCCGTGTGTGACATGGGGATACACCGTACAATTGTACACAAGCGATCCCGTGTGTGACATGAGGATACACCGTACAATTGTACACAAGCGATCCCGTGTGTGGGCTCCATAGAGGACATCGCTCAGTACAAGCAGGATATTGGCATAAGACAGATGCTCGGGGTGGGGGCGTTACCCTGTTCACACGGGGACCTGAGGTGAGCCAATCACAGGACAGAGGCGTCTGCCTGCTGACATACATTGTAGGGGTGAGGATTCCCGGATTGCGGATCTCATCTCACCATGAACAACGGGGACGTGACGGACAGAGCCCGACCTCGGATCATGGAGATCTCCCGGAAAGCTTCATTCAGCGCTTCTCACCGGCTGCACTGGTGAGTACAGAGCTTCCTCCTCCTCCCCCATCATCTGTGTTCAGCAACAGTGTCTGATCCATCCCTGTGTCCCCCCCTCCCCCAGGGATCTAGGTAATGTCTGATCCATCCCTGTGTCCCCCCCTCCCCCAGGGATCTAGGTAATGTCTGATCCATTCCTGTGTTCCCATCTCCCTCCAGGGATCTATGTAATGTCTGATCCATTCCTGTGTTCCCATCTCCCTCCAGGGATCTATGTAATGTCTGATCCATGCTTGTGTTCCCATCTCCCTCCAGGGATCTATGTAATGTCTGATCCATCCCTGTGTTCTCTTCTCCCTCCAGGGATCTATGTAATGTCTGATCCATCCCTGTGTTCTCTTCTCCCTCCAGGGATCTATGTAATATCTGATCCATTCCTGTGTTCTCTTCTCCCTCCAGGGATCTATGTAATGTCTGATCCATCCCTGTGATCCCCCCTCTCCCCAGAGATGTGTGTAATGTCTGATCAATCCCTGTGATTCCCCCCCCCCCCCCCCGGGATCTATGTGTGTAATGGCTGATCCATACCTGTGAATCCCCCCCTCAGGGATCTATGTGTGTAATGTCTGATCCATCCAACCCTGTGATTCCCCCCCACAGGGATATATGTGTGTAATATCTGAGCCATCCCTGTGATTCCCCCCTCATGGATCTATGTGTGTAATGTCTGATCCATCCCTGTGATTTTCCCCTCCCCCAGGGATCTATGTGTGTAATGTCTGATCCATCCCTGTGATTTTTTCCTCTCCCCCAGGGATCTATGTGTGTAATGTCTGATTCATCCCTGTGATCTGTGTGTGATCCTGTAGATCTGGGCTGTGTGCAGTGTCCTCTTCTCCCCTGGTTGGTTTGGTTATTTTTCTTCAACAAGTGTCCGCTGTCTCATTCATGACATCATTGGTCTCTAGGTGGTTGCACATCATTTCCTAAAGAATCCATCAACTAATCTGTATTAGATGCTGGGTCAGGTGCCCGCTCAGCTTCTGTTCTCTCCTGACTACTATTGGGGTGGCAACTCTCAGTTTATATCCTGCCCACCTATCACCTCTTTCATCAGAGGGACTTGTTCTACCCAATTTATTATTTTTATTTTAAAGAACTGTGGGCATTTTATTTTTCATTTTGAATAGGGTAAGGGAGGGTTATAACACCTGTCAGGTTTTTATTTTGCCATCTGTGTCCCATTGGGGAGATGTCCCCTTATTTCCTATCACATAGCCAAAACAGGAAGTAAGAGGAAATCCCTCCAAAGTGGAAGATTTCCCATATATTCCTGATCTGGGAACAACCCAAATATGGGATTTTCTTTTACTTTCAGTGATTCACAGTAAACAGAGCAAATAGAGTGACTTTCCCTAACGGGGACACAGACAGCAAATTAAACTACCAAGTGTTCTGATCCATCTTCACTGTATCCAAAACTAAAGGAATAGAAGCTTTTGCCTTTAGTTATCCTTTAAGTTTTGGATCGATTGTGGTAGGATTAGGCCTCCCAATTTGGAGAGAGAGAAACGGGGAAAAGGTTGCAAATGGACTTTACAAGCACAGAAATTCCAAACACATATTAGTAAAATTATTTGTACTTTATTATGACAATAGGTCATGAAAAAACATCTTGCAGTTTAAAAGATCATAGTTACACTATCCCCACAGGCAATGTCCCACAGCCGACCGTGTACAAGGAACACATTAATGATTAAGGATGTAAAGACCACCAAATGGATCCTCTAAGGGGGGGGAGACATTAAGTCACAGGAAAATGGCCCTACATGTTTCGGTACAGTGATCACTTCTTCAGGGGCTTAGTAGCAAAATCTAAAAGAAATATACATAAATTAGATCTATCAAATTACAACATGTGAATACAAGAAAAAAAAGCAAATTCATACATGAACATAATATGACTTACATATGATATCAACATGCAAGAATTGGTTCTGACCAGCTCAGTGGATTGCTAAAAAAAGTCCTGGATTCTTTCCTAGATACACAGAATATAACTGGATACTAACATTTATAGGTAAAGTTAATCAAGGGAATATCCGATTGCCTCTCGGGGGATCAGGAAGAAATCTTTTCCCCTGCAGGAGCAAATTGGATTGTGCTTTGCTGTTTTTTTTTGCCTTCCTCTGGATAAACTCTGGATCAACTGTGGGTATAGGATTATAACTTTTTTTTTTTGTTGTTTTTTTGATGGTTGAACTGGATGGACTTTTGTCTTTTTTCAACCAGACTATGTAATTATGTTATTGCTAAAAGCTTACATCTGCTCCCACCCCCATTCTAAGCCCGATACTAACTACCCTGTAGAAGAAAGAGGTCTATACTTGCCTATTCCCTGGGCGCTCTGTTCCGGTCACATGATTGGCTCCTAGCAGTCGGCTTCAGTGGAAAGGAAAGATCGCCCACGTCTGCAGTGCCTATGCGGTGATGTCACACATTGACTTACCATGGGGCATCCATTGTCCGCTGTTCCTCCTCTACACTGGTGCTGGCGCTGGAAGGCAATCATGTGATCGGACTAGAGCCCCCTCTGAACAGGCAAGTATAGACCTCTTTCCTCTAGAGGGTAGTTAGTAAAGGCTCAGAATGAGGGTGGGAGCAGATTTTAAGCTAATTCATTCATAAAAATACAAGGTTTCCTGTGAATGACTGAGCAGCACTCAGCCCAACTCCATTTTATTCTGGGAACACAGATCTGTATACTGTAGGTAGGTGATGCATACAGTGCTACATACAGTTTATACAGCACTCAGTGGGAGCATCTGAACGTAAGGTAAAGGTAATAGTACATTTGGAACAGCCAGGTTCAAATTAATTATTTTATTTTAAGTGACAGGTACCTGGAGTTAGGCTTTAAGAGAATACAGGCTATTTATAGTGTCTCTTCTGCAGTAAAATGAACCTACCTGCCTGCTTGCAGTCTTCTCTACCATGTACGTTGTGCTGTGTGTGAACAGATCCTTTACATTTCTGGCACAGTATCAATATGCCAGGAGACAGGGGTGTAGTTACCACAAGGCAAACAAGGCACTTGCCTAGGGCGGCATTTTTCAGGGGGGCAGCACCTCCCCCCAGAAGAGGGGATGAAAGAAAGGAACCTGGGAACCAGGTGGGATCCGAGAGAGACTGCGGGCTACTTCATGGGTGTGTATATAGAGCCTGACTCTCTTTCCCTGGGATGTCTGGAGCTGTGAAGATGAGCATCTCTCTATGGCCGGGGGGGGGGGGGGGTTGGGGTAGTGGATGGCTCTCCCAGGTGGGTGGCAGGGGTGTTGTTGGTCAATGTCAGGCTCTCTCCATGGGAGGGGGAAGGGGGGGTTGTGTTGTCCATGGGGGCAGATGATTTTTGTGTTGCCTAGGCCAGCACAAAACCTAAATACGCCTCTGCCTGGAGGACTAACTCCTGGCAGGGCCAACCAAGGCGGGCTACCTCCTTTGCAGGGCCAACCAAGGCGGGCTACCTCCTTTGCAGGGCCAACCAAGGCGGGCTACCTCCTTTGCACGGCCAATCAAGGCGGGCTATCTCCTTTGCAGGGCCAACCAAGGCAGGCTAACTCCTTTGCAGGGCCAACCAAGGCGGGCTAACTCCTTTGCAGGGCCAACCAAGGCGGGCTAACTCCTTTGCAGGGCCATCCAAAACAACCAAAGCCTGAAAAGATCATGGTGTTGATGAGGGACCTCTGAGACGTGTGACCTTGGAGAGAAGGTAAGTATCTGCAGCTTTAGTTTTTCAAACATTGACAGTATTTAAGGAGGAAGTGGCAGGGTTCTTAAGAAATACCATAGGTCTTGGCAGTTTACCTGAAATGTAACTTTATCAAGTCTGTCTTGTTAACAGTTTTTCTGTTTTGCCTCTCCATGCTGTGTTGCAGTAATTCCTTGAGCGATGAGGAGAACAAGAAGATTTTTGGAAAGTGCAACAACCCAAATGGACACGGCCATAACTACATAGGTCAGAAATACCAAATAACCTTGTATTGACTGCTGCTACATTTCACATTACGTCTACAATTGCTTTATGTCCACCTGTGTTACCCCAGAAAGCTGTGTAGTGACAGCAGACACTGGGCCTATATACACATATGCAAGGCCAGGAAGTCTGACCTATGCATCATGAGAATTCCACCTGACTTTCACTAGAAATCTGTTCCTAAGCCTGGCAATACTGAAACATTCATACATAGTATAGTATAAAAATAAAACATAATAAACTGGAACTAAACCCTCCTATCATTTACAGTCAGGGAAGCTGCTATTTTGCCCTTTACTCTGCAGTTGCCATGGTGCTACACACCCGATCCGTAATAAGAACAGTTGCCATTTGATGGCTTGACCCTTCAGTTGAGAGCACAAGCAACTGTGACAATTATTCATAGCATCAAAAGTAACCAGAAACCGGTGCTCAAATCTCTCTTACTGCACTCAAAATGGAATTGTGCACTTACTGAGGTGCCGCCCTTGATAGATCGGGGAATCTTGATACTAGCAGAGAAGAACAAAACAGGGCGCATTCTCCTCATGCATTAAAACAATAACCAAAAATATATTAAGAAGATGTAAAAACATACTCACAAGCCATAAAGGTCATAAAAACAGAAACAAGAAGTCAAAGGTGCCAATCGTGGACAGCATGCGTGCCTGGGTAAAGTGCTAACACGTTTCGAGTCGAACCTCCTTCCTCAGAGCAATAGATCTGCTGAATATTGCTCTGAGGAAGGGCGTTCGACTCCAGAAACACGTTAGCACTTTACCCGAAGACGATTGGCACCTTTGACTTCTTGTTTCTGTTTTTATGACCTTTTATGGCTTGTGAGTATGTTTTTGCATCTTTTTAATACATTTTTGGTTATTGCGTTAATGCACAAGGAGAGTGCCCCCTGTTCTATCATTCACAGCATGCCTTGAATGTAACTGTTTTGGGAAACTTGAATCGGTGGGTTTAGTTCCACTGTAAAGGCATAGTTCGCATTTTCCCAAAAACTGCGAGTGCAGATATGAGAAGTAGGAGCTCGGTTTTGGAAATATTTAGTTTGAGGAAGTGGAGTAACATTCAATCCGATATGTCGTTCAGTAGGCTTGTGATACGGGCGGAGACTAAAAGGGTGAGATGAGGGGTAGAGAGATTTGCGTGTCGACGGCATAGAGATGGTAGTTGAAGCCATGAGAGTGTATCAATTGGCCAAGGGAGGAGGTGTAGATGGAGAAGAGAAGGGGCCCGAGGACAGAACCTTGAGGGACCCCAACAGAGAGGGTTGAGTGAGGGGGAGGTGGCAGCGTTATAGGTAACACTGAAGGAGCGCTGTGATAGATAGGAAGAGAGCCAGGAGAGAGCGGAGTCTCTGAGGCCAAGAGTGTCGTTTTTTGAGGAGGAGGGGGTGGTCAACCGTGTTGAAAGCTGCGGAGAGGTCGAGGAGTAGGAGCACTGAATAGTGGCCATTAGCTTTGGCAGTTAGCAGGTCATTGGTGAGTTTGAGTAGGGCAGTTTCGGAGGAGTGTAGGGGACAGAAGCCAGACTGTAGGGGATCAAGGAGGTTGTTGTCAGTGAGGTGGGAACTCAGGCGATTATAGACTAAGCGGTCTAGGAGTTTGGATTTAAATGGCAGCAGGGAGATGGGTCTAAAGTTGTTTAGGTCGGTGGGATCCAGGGAGGGTTTTTTAAGTATGGGAGTGATGTGCGTGTGCTTTAGAGGGGAAGGGAATGTGCCAGTAGAGAGGGAAAGATTAAAGATGTGAGTGAGGGAGCGTAGGATGGAGGAAGAGGGTGATCGTAGGAGTTGTGAGGGGACAGGGTCAAGGGGGCATGTGGTGAGGCGGGCTTCAGAGAAGACCTTAGTGATTGCTTCAGTGGTAGCAGGGTCGAAGGAGTGGAGTGTTTGAGGGTGTTTTAGTGTGAGGAGTGCTGGGTGGGGTGGAAGTCTGGGCAGTGGCGAGGTTGAAGGAGAGGAGTGTTGAGGGGGTTTTCTGTGAGGGATGCTAGGTGGGGTGGAAGTCTGAGCAGTGGCGATGTCCCTATGAATTGCGTCGATCTTGTTTTTGAAGTGGTTAGCAATCTCGTGGGCGTTGAGTAAGGTACTGGGTGGAGGTGGGGGCGGAGAGACTAGAGAGTTAAAAGTAGAGAAGAGCGAGGACTGGAGGAGAAGGTATTTATGAGGGTAACAAAGTAGGCTTGCTTGGCAGCGTGAAGGGAGGAAGTGTAGGTAAAGAAGGCAGATTTATATTAGGTGAACGCTTGTTGGGATCTGGTTTTGCGCCATAGTTGCTCCAGTGCACGACTGCGTCATTTGATATTTTGATCGTAAGTAATCAAACGCATCTGTTTCCACCATGTAATTTTATAATGCGATCATATTCATGAATAGTTGATTGACTTGAATAATCAAATCTGGTTTGAATTGATCAGAATGGATGTTGTGGCTGTTCAATTGTTTGCAGATTTTAATTGTTAATTGATCAAATAAAAAAATCAGACTGACAATGCTGATGTCCTAAGGTGGTTACATTGCTCTTCCATAGATGCAGTGGAAAAGGAAGTGCAGCCACCCTAAGACAGGCAGAGTTGCAGGCCGAGTCACCAGGTGAAAATAAGGTGGGGGGGACTATTCAAGGACTGGCAAACTGTAATATATTGAGTTTTTGCTCTATGGTTTAGATGTACCTCAACAGTAGCCTTTGCAGAATGCTTCAAGTTTAGTTTTTTAGGTTTATCAGTACCAGTGTACCTGATAGTTTTCTTCTTCACCCAAGATCTTTTTAACTTTAGCTATGGTCACTGCTGGTCTAACCCCCCCCCCCCCCCTCCTCCACACACCACCAACAATTAGAATACGCCAATCAGCGCTGCAGTCCAGTGGCTGCATGCTCAGATTGAATGTTGGTTTTCCAGCAGGACCTTTCCACAGAGGCCAGTTTAACGATCGGCTTCTGTTGAAAAGGGAAGGCTACACATACTTCGAAATTCAACTGGTCCCTTTTGAACCGGCTGAATTTCGATATGTGTAAACCCTGCTTCATACAGCAAAGCATAGAGGAGAACTACACATTATGAAAGATGGAACAAATGGTCTGGTTTAGAAGATTAAACTGCTATAGTGAAATTAATTCTGGTTGGAAACAGCTGTGTAAACCTGGGCATACACTAATAGATTTATTTCGTTTATCCCAGGCTGCAACTTATTGACTGTTCAGCAGACAATTTTTGGCCTGGCTCCTTTGACAAAAAAAAAAGACAATCCACTTTTATCATGACAGCAGGGTCACCCACTGTTAGAATTTTGGCCCATTCGTCTGAATAGCCAGAGTTCTAAGAAAGGCATTATCCACAATGGACAAAGTAAAGGGCATCGTGTACAAAGGAAGATACCATTCTGCTTATTGAATACAGACCATCAAAAAACAATTGTGCCAAAAGGACTACATAAAGACAAAGTTCTAAGTTTATGGTAAATCCTTTAACGGTAAATGTTGTAGACACCAAGGTTCCTGATGACTTTTCTTGAATGCATTTAAATATCCTGCTGGAACGTAAACTAGCATTTGCAAGCGGTATAACTACATGAATTGTGCAACTAACCAAAACTTGTTTGTGTTCTTCCTAGTGATTGTCACAGTGCGGTCTGAGGTAGGTGTTCAATATGTAGATGTTCTGAAGCCTGTTACTGGAAGCATGCAATACATGATGGAAAAATTAAAGCTAATTTTATTTTTTAGAACCTCTTTTACAGTTTAATATTGGCTTTTTTTTAACCCACTTCCTATATAACAATCAATTTTATGGCTTGTTTATGCTTAGCTGTGTTGGTAGAGGCCATTTATTTGTATGGGTGTGTAGTTTGTTGATTTTCTAGTTTTTGATGAAATGTGCCATGGCTTTATTCCCAGCCAGTTTAAAAAAATTGCCTGGGGCTCTAGTAGTAAAATGCCTTTGGCATGCTAAGGATGGTTTTTCAACAGTATGATTTGTGACACCAACCAGTCCTTCCTATGTTCATTCGAAGAGTCTATTAGAGCAGCTTTTCACAACTAGGGTTCCATGAACTCTTAGACTTCCTAAAAAAAAGTTCTAGGCTTTCATTGAGTAGTGGTGAAATGATCGCCTGCCTACTGACCACCAATGCTGGGGACAATTTTCCACAGGCCACCAGTCTAAGGGGTCACTTCAACACTAACCACCAATGTTAGCGAACACCATTATTTTCAATTTCTGCTCTCTTTTCGGTATTCATTTCACTTGAAAATCATTACTGAAAATTGTCATTTACAACAGGTGGGTGTTAAAAGGAAAAAAAATCTGCCTTGGCTGTCAAATACCTCTAGGACACCACATTCCTTTATTCTTTCATTTAACGTTTCCCACATATTACTAAACATGCTACATTATATCAGCTGCAGGAGCAGAGGTTTACCAAGACCTGAAAATTATTTGAAGGGTTCCTTTGGGTTAAAGCTTGAGGCTGCATTAGAGTGCATGGTACAGTATTTTTGTGCTGGTGCCCTCAAGTGGATTTAACTTAACAAAAAGAGGGACCATGGGTCAGGGAAAAGTCTGTAGGCCTATGAGGTTTGGTGTATCTTGGCTGTTCTTCAGGTGGGTTTTATTTTTGGGTTCATTTTACTTTAAGAAAAAAGATTTCCTAAACTTAAAAACACAAGTTGCCTCACAGAGTATCTGTTTATAAAATGAATGAGTTTCCTAGCAGGGATGGGCTAGAAGATATTGCAATGTGTGTTAACGCTTGCTGGCTACATACTACTTGATGGTTTCATATTGTGGACAATGAAACCATCTAGTAGAGACAGGTAGACCAGTACTCCCCTATTGAGATTTCATTGCATTGACAAAGGCAGGCCATTGATTATGAAATTTTTCCCATCAACAGTCAGTCTTGATGGAGAAATCCTTCCTGTAGAGCTATTGTGAGCTATTCTTAGCAGCACATGGAGCTGTCCCTGCCAGCAGGACACAATGATTACTGCTACAGCTGCAGGCAGTAATCACATGCTAAAAATCCAGCAGGCTGGTTGTACCAAGTCAATCGCTGTATTCAAATCGATCCAGTCAGCCTGCCCATAGATAAATCTAATCTCGACTGGTCCTTGCTGAACTGGCCGAGATTCGATCCATCTATGGCTGGCTTAAGAGGTAGCACTTAGCCCTAGGATCCTTGTAGACCAGCAATGGGCAAACTACGGCCCGGCGGACCTTTTAATCCGGCCCGCGGAGCTAGGCTCCTCTCACAGTCCGCCCTGAAGACCGGTGTAGCATGAAAATCTGTCTCCTATGAGGATCTGTCCCCCTCGACGTATCTGCGCATGTGCCGGAGATCGCCGATCGGCTGCTAATGCCTGAAACTGGCACATGCGCAGATACGTCGAGGGGGACAGATCCTCATAGGAGACAGATTTTCATGCTACACCGGAACGGCGCGGGAAACACGGCGAGAGGAACGCGCGGAGCAAAGGTAAGTGAATTGACACAGGGGGGACTTCGGGACTTAATATGGGGGATGAATTACTATGGGGAATGAATTACTATAGGGGGGATGAATTACTATGGAGGATGAATTACTATAGGGGGGATGAATTACTATATGGGGGGTGAATTACTATGGGGGATGAATTACTATATGGGGATGAATTACTATGGGGGATGAATTACTATATGGGGGATTAATTACTATGGGGGATGAATTACTATATGGGGGATGAATTACTATGGGGGATGAATTACTATATGGGGGATGAATTACTATATGGGGGATGAATTACTATGGGGGATGAATTACTATATGGGGGATGTATTACTATGGGGGATGAATTACTATATGGGGGATTAATTACTATGGGGGATGAATTACTATATGGGGGATGAATTACTATGGGGGATGAATTACTATATGGGGGATGAATTACTATGGGGGATGAATTACTATGGGGGATGAATTACTATATGGGGGATGAATTACTATGGGGGATGAATTACTATGGGGGATGAATTACTATGGGGGATGAATTACTATATGGGGGATGAATTACTATGGGGGATGAATTACTATATGGGGGATGAATTACTATATGGGGGATGAATTACTATGGGGGATGAATTACTATATGGGGGATGAATTACTATATGGGGGATGTATTACTATGGGGGATGAATTTACTGTATGGGGGATTAATTACTATGGGGGATGAATTAGTATATGGGGGATGAATTACTATGGGGGATGAATTACTATATGGGGGATGAATTACTATGGGGGATGAATTACTATGGGGGATGAATTACTATATGGGGGATGAATTACTATGGGGGATGAATTACTATATGGGGGATGAATTACTATGGGGGATGAATTACTATATGGGGGATGAATTACTATGGGGGATGAATTACTATATGGGGGATGAATTACTATGGGGGATGAATTACTATGGGGGATGAATTACTATATGGGGGATGAATTACTATGGGGGATGAATTACTATATGGGGGGTGAATTACTATAGGGGGGATGAATTACTATGGGGGATGAATTACTATATGGGGGATGAATTACTATAGGGGGGATGAATTACTATATGGGGGATGAATTACTATATGGGGGATGAATTACTATGGGGGATGAATTACTATATGGGGGATGAATTAGTATATGGGGGATGAATTAGTATATGGGGGATGAATTAGTATATGGGGGATGAATTACTATAGGGGGATGAATTACTATATGGGGGATGAATTACTATGGGGGATGAATTACTATATGGGGGATGAATTACTATAGGGGGGATGAATTACTATAGGGGGGATGAATTACTATGGGGGGATGAATTACTATGGGGGATGAATTACTATATGGGGGATGAATTACTATGGGGGATAAATTACTATGGGGGAATATTACTATACTTACTATGGATGACACATACACATCATTCATCTACTCTTGGTCCGGCCCCCGGGTCCAATATATGAACCCATTGCGGCCCTCAAGTCAGAAAGTTTGCCCACCCCTGTTGTAGACCCACCAGGTACACTTTCCAACTTTCCACCAGGGACACATGGATAAATGAACTCTTAAATGCCTGTGCCATATAATAATGGGAATGAATTTGCAGGATAATATGTTCTGAAAAGGTTCCAAGACCTGGCAGAATTTTGTTGTTATAACATTACAAATCTATGTTTAGAACTGTCTTACAACTGCCAGATTCTGTTCTAGGTTTATGACTGTTTTAACCACTTCCAGACCGGACACTTTTACCCCCTTCCTGACCAGGGCAATTTTCAGCTTTCAGCGCTATCACACACTTTGAATGACAATTGTGTCATGCAACACTGTACCCAAATGAATTTTTTACAATTTTTTTTGAGACAGATAAAGCTTTATTTTGGTGGTATTTATTCACCGCTGGGATTTTTATTTTTTTTGCTATTTAAATGAAAAAGTCCAAAAATTTTGAAAAAAAGTGTTTTTTTTATAAAATTTTGCAAATAAATAATATTTCATCATAAATCTTTGCCAAAATTTATTCCATTATCTTTTTAGTAAAAAAAAAAATACAAATTAGTTTATAACCAAAGCCTATAATTTTTAAACATTTTTTTTACATTTTTATTTTATTTTTTTATATTATTATTTTTTTTATTTTTTTTTTTTTTACATACAGTCACCCTAGCAGTACAGTGTCACCATGGTGACACTGTACTACTTGTGGGGGGTGATGAAGATTTTTTTTTTTTTTTTTTTTTACACTGATTGCTTTTACACCCATATAGGATGTAAAAGCAATCATTTCTCCTTCTCTCTCTGGCTGCATTCTTGCACTCATTGAGAAGTACTGAGTGAGCTGTGATTGGTCACAGCTTGTCACATGGTACAAGGCTGTTGTGAATAGCCTTGTACCATGTGACCTCTGTGATCATTCACAGATTTCACACGTAGTAAGCAATGATGTCACAAGTGACATCTTGCTTACTACTTTGCATGTGATCACTGATTGGCCAATCAGTGATCACATGATCGGGACCTCGTAGAGAGGTCCCGTCCGACGATCGGTGTGTTTCACTGTGTCCGGAGGACACAGCGGGCACCGGATCGCGGTGCTACACGCTCCGAGGGAGCGCGCACAAGCAGGATGCGGGGAGGCCATTTATAAACGCCAACCGACCCTGCACTGCCACCGTCCAGCCATTTATATGCAACGGCCGGTCGGGAAGTGGTTAAAATGTATTTTGTCTTTTGTTCCTTGTTCACAATGTGGCAGCCCGGGCAGTAAAATCTGAAGTATGATAGAAGTCAGATCATGTAATTGTTCATAGTCATGTAGTGGTATTACTGCAAATCAAACTGCCATGTTCAATGAGAAATATCCACTTCTTGCCTTGCATTACATTTGCCACAAGGGGAGTTGTGCTTTAGGCTGTCATGGAAGTAGATATCTTTGTCCTAACATGAAGTGTAACTACCCGAACAGCCTATGATTGCACACTTATTACTATATTTTTTTTTCCTCATATAGATCGATCCTGTCACTGGAATGGTAATGAATCTAACAGACCTGAAGAAACATATAGAGGTAATTGGTCTGGCATATGAATATCTGTAGATATCTGTACATGATTGAAAAGATATTCTGTTAATTCTGCATTGGAATTTTCATGCATTTTTACTTTAGGCTGGATTCACAATTTTTTTTTTTTGCATTGTCGGAACACACTTCCTTGCAAGGAATGCATTAAGGTAATTTTTTTAGCTTTAAAAAAAAAAAATTACCTTAATGCATTCCTTGCATTAGGGTAAAAAATGGTTTCTATTCCACTGTCGTCCCCTTTCTGTGTGAAGGAGAAAAGAGGGGTGAATGGATCCAGCACTGTGCACGGCTGCATTTCTTTTCCCCTCTCTTCCTCTTCACACAGGACACGAGCAGCAGCAGGAACCACTGGTTCATGCTGTAGTCAATCAAATGCAGTGAGGAGGAAGTGGGGGGGGGGCTAAGTCCCGCTGTGTGTCTCTAAGGAATGTGGCTCCATAGACTCACCGCTCGGTAGCGAGCGGACACTGTGTGTGCCCCCATAGCAGCTGTTTGCTATGGGGATACATTAAGAAGAGGTGGAGCCAAGATTGCTAAAAGAGGACCAAAGAAAAGGAGGATCGGGGAGCAGGTGAGTATAGCATGTTTGTTAGATCAGGGAGCAGGTGAGTATAGCATGTTTGTTAGATCAGGGAGCAGGTGAGTATAGCATGTTTGTTAGATCAGGGAGCAGGTGAGTATAGCATGTTTGTTAGATCAGGGAGCAGGTGAGTATAGCACGTTTGTTAATTTAATAAAAAAAAAAAGACTTTAGCAACGCTTTAAATAATTTTTTTATCTTTCAACCACGGGTTGAAGGAAAGAAAATTGCTCGATTTCCCCATCAACACAATCAGTGTTGATGGGGTACTCCCTCCCATGGAGATATTGTATTCTGACAGTGGGAGGTGTCCCTACTGTCAGAATGCAATGATCACTGCTGGCAGTTATAGCCACGGTTAGTGATCGAACAAAAAAAAAAAAGACAGGCTGGTTGTAGTGAAGTCGATGGATAGATTAACTTCAGTACAGCCAGCCTCCCTATAGATGGATCGAAATTTGTCCATTTCCTGCTGAAACGGCTGAATTTTGATCCATCTACAACCGGTGTAGCGGCAAGATCAGTATCCCCATGAAGATGTGTATCCCTGACGCATCTGCGCATGTCACGGTTTTCGGCAGAAGTAGACGATCGATGATCACCATCCATAGGACAGAACTGCCACAGTTAAACAATTAATTCTTATTATTATTATGATAAGTATAATTACTAATTAATTAGTTAAGAAAATTAAGAAATTACAACAAAGGGGTTATTTCAAGAAGGTCGGATGCAGCAGTTCAGTAATCGATTGATCGTGACTGAAACTGTGACATGCGCAGATGCGTCAGGGATACACCTCTTCATGGGGGTACTCCTCTTGCTGCTACACCGGCATTATACAGCTCTGCCTCACAGCATGGCTTGTCTGGCAGCACAAGAGACCTGATTTTTCGTCCTTTTTTTTTTTCTCCTCCTCCTTCTTTCTCCCCTTTCAAGCACCCCCCCCCCCCACAAACCTGTGACTGGGCAGTGAAAGAAGAAGCAGACTCATGAGCTCCTTTCTCATTCTGCTTTCTTCTCCCATCAGCATTCCCCTTTATAACAAAAGAGTACTGCAATAAAATTGACTGTGCTGCTTCTCTTTCTCAAGCATGAGCCCAGCTGTACAGTGAATTGCAAGAGGTTTATACTTGATGAAATTCTGAATTTTGCATAAAAATGCATTTGATGTATTCGTAAATACAGAGCTGCATTAATTTTTGTCTTTTTAGATCTGCCCAAGGTCACACTTTAACATACTTTACTCCAACACACACTGTAACGTGCGAGTGTATTGTGTTGCCATTCATGTATACCTGTAGTGGTGCTCCGCGTTGCAAAAGACAGTGACCATGCAATTTTTTTTTTTTTTTTCCATGCGTGGAGTGCGGAAAGCTCATTCAAAATAATGGTCTGTCAGGCTACATTTGCACACGTGTTTTGCCATGGTGTGAATGGCAGTGGCAGGAATCTGATTCCTGTTGCAGTTTTTGACAGGTGTGAATGGCTAGCTGTGGCCAGTGAGTCCATACACTTCAATGATGGGTTATCGGTGGCCGCAACTATTCGTGGCTGTTCATACAGCCAGCAATTACCTGCGGTGATCACACCTGTCAAAAACAGCAGCAGGAATCAGCAGACTACTACCACTTCCATTTGCACCATGGCAAACACCCATGCAAATGTAGCCTTAATGAAACACGTGTCAGTATGCATAGCTATTCATGAACCACAGATTTGTAAACTGTGCAGCATTGTGCCTTACTCTAGCCTTGCTGACAATAATTGCAACAAGTGTGCATTACGTCTGACCCTTCATTCCTAGAAAAGTAATTAAGGAAGGTTTGCCTGCAGAGGGATAGTCCACCATGGATAGACTGCTCTGTCTAACATCTCGAGGTACTTATAGTTGCTCTCTTCCACCATAGAAACATCCCACTAATAGAAGGTAATGCTCAAAACATTGTTTGCTTTTATCAAATCTCTTATAGTTAGGCTTACTCACCTGGAGGGACCTATATGCTGGAGAGATGCATTATTGTGGTCCCCTGCAATTTTCATGTTTTTGTTTTTAATAAATGAAACCTTTTTTTATACACTCTATAAGGCCTTTTTGGATTTTGTTTTTTTTACATATCTCATTACTTGCACTCATTGTTTTGTAGGAGGTTATTATGGTTCCATTGGATCATAAAAATTTGGATCTTGATGTTCCCTACTTTAAGAATACTGTCAGGTGAGTTGAAGTTTATACAGTTTAAAAGAATTAAACGATTAAAGGAAACTTGTACTGCAAGAAACATGTAGGTTTCTGTCTCCTTCTGAAAATGCATGTTCCCTGGCTGTTATGCCTATCCAATAGTTTCAATGCTTTAGCCTGGGTTCATACTTGTGCGGTATATCGCATGTGATTCACACAGGAACCGCACCGTATTCCTGTGCAAATCACATGCGATTTGTGTGCGGTGCGATCAGAGCCATACATTAAGTATGACTCTAATCGCACCGCACCCGCAGCAAAAAAAATTGCAGGACCCTTTTTGGGTCAGCACTAGAATCGGATCGTATAGGTATTCACGCCTATGTGATCCGATTCTACACATCGCACCACGTTTTGCGGACCGCTTTTGGGGTGTTGTTAACTTAACATACACACTCGCAGCGGTTCGCATGAACAGGGTACGATTCTGATGCGGTGCGGAATTCACACTGAAAATGCTGTGAATTCTGCACTACATCACTGTGAACCAGGGCTAAATTCTTGCTTGAGGTCAGTGAATGAAAGGATTGAAGGAAAGTTCACCTTTCTGAACATGTTACACTTGTGCTTAGGGTGTTACATGTTCAGCATCCTCCCCCCAACCATCGCGGTGATGGCAAACGGGATCTTCTCCTCGCACCTGCTGTCACAGGTTGAAAACATTTGTGTCATTCCTTCAGTTTCCTGTGAATGAATATACCAGAAGTACCATCAGTCATTGTAGCAGACGGCTTGTAGTTTCTCATTGAACTGTACGGGCGATGGTGAGCTCTCTCGTAGTTAATTGCTCTCAAGTAACTACCTGCTCATATGAGAAACCGCTATCCTGAGAGCCTGCAGGAGCCTGACATTGCACCTACAAGCTGCTTATCGCTGGTGCAATGCTTTGAAAGCTCCTAAGAAAAAAAAAATAATAAATGCACATTTATTATTTAGTTTTTATTGAAAAAATAAATAAATAAATATATATATATATGTATATATAATCTCTCTCTCTCTCTCTCAAGAACCTGTGACATAAGGTTTACAAATTAGCAAAATATGGACAGCGCCAAAAATTAACTATAAATATACTATAAAGTGCAAACAGGCGCAAAACCTAACCTATAAGGTATACATATACTTTGTGAGGACGTCAGGTGACGAAACGCATAGGGTAGAGCTTGTGGGTGTGACGTCATGACATTCAGCGATCTGTCAGTGTCCGTGGATGCCGGAGGAGGCTGTGGGTTATTGCTGTGAATGTGGTTATGCTGGAGTCGGCTTAGACACCATTCATTGTAAGTGCGATGAGAGATTTTAATAAATTCCTTTTTATACATTGCTACACTATGAGTTTCTCCTCTCTTGCTTTCTGAGTGATATTCGAGGTTTATGAAGAAGGGTGTGCCTTACTGAATTGTTCCATATATGCTGAGAGTCATCTGCAGACCATTGCTCCCAGAGCACAAGCGCTTATGCTGGTTTATAATTTGACCAGCACATTGCCCTGGTGAGTTTATTCAGTCTATTCGGTGGTGGATTTGTGCACGGTGGTTTTATGTTTTCACATGAAGATTTTTTGATTTGAAGATTTTTGCTTATTGATACAGATATATTTTTGGTGTTGGACATTTGCACATTTATTTGGACACTATTATTAATTTGTTTATATAGTTTTATTAAGTTACATAATAAGCAATATTTTTCATAATTTGTGTGGGATTATTAGCGCAAACCTGTTTTTCATTTTTATAAGGCAACAGTTGTCAAAAAAAGGGTACATTTTGTGTAGGCATAGACCCACAGTGCTATTGCTTCTCAACTAAAAGAACAGTTTCACTTTTAGTTAAAGGAATTTCCGGTATGGATATTTTTTAACATAGTTACATTGGTCTAGCTTGGACCAATGTAACTATGTATAGACCATACTTAAAAAAAATCACTGAAGTAAACAGACCGTTACCACTCTATGCTCACTGAGACTGAGCACTGAGCAACCAGCAGTCTTTCATTACTCAGTTCTTGGGGGTAGAGCTGGTGGGGGCTCGCTGCTACAGCCATCTAGGTAAGTTTGTCATGTTTGTCATTTTTCATTCTCACACTTCTTGTTTAAAGTGGTATTAATCCCAAAACCAGACATATAGGGGTTTATTTACTAAAGCTGCTTCACTCAGAATCTCCTGCACGTCTGCATGGAAACCAATCAGCTTCCAGGTTTTATTACTAAAGCTTAAATGAACAAGGTGAGGTTAGAAGCTGATTGGCTACCATGCACAGGTGCACAAGATTCTGCGTGAACCAGCTTTAGTAAATCTCCCCCACAATGTATAGAAGTTTACCAATCATTAGTTTTCTTTTTTTAGGATTTTTTTAATCTGGTGATCTGGCCAGTAACACATCTCCTATATTAGAGTGCCCCCACTCAATGACAGAACATAGACGATGCATGTGGACAGTAGCGATAAAATACGTTTACGTTTTTGGTTGTAACATGAGAAAATGTGGACATTTTTCAAGGGGTATGAATAGTTTTTCAATGTGCTGTAGCTGTCCAGGCTAAAAAGAACCCCCCCCCCCTAATCACTGATAAAAACTAAATGAAATAACTATGGCAATACATGTAGTATGTGGTTGTACTTGCAATATGATCATATGGTTTTGATAATATTAGGATAACTTCTATTTTGTGTAGTTCTGTGGAGAACCTGACTGTATTCATTTGGGATGGCCTTCAGAAGAGACTTCCACCAGGGCTGCTGCATGAGGTACGTGTACATGAGACCGACAACAACACTGCTACCTACAGAGGGGAATGACAACAACTCAGACTATCAGATTTGTAGCTGCAAACATCGGGACCAGAAGACTGCCTGTAAACAATGTACACATGCCATACAATGCGTCATGAAATCTTACCTTTCAGTCCTTCCTGCGTGTTAACAAATGTCCTAATTGTACACTGACCCTTCTTTCTGAAAATTCCATCAAAACGCTGGACATTGCCTTAGGAATATGACAGCTTTGGCAGTTTCCACTGTGTAGAGGCAGTTCTTTACTTTGTTTTTGGTTTTTGTTTTTGTTTACTATAGTCATTCCTACATGTACTTGGCATGCAAAGTACATATGCTGATTTAAATAAAATAGTCAATTTTTCTGCATATATAAACCATTTTGTGGATGTGTTAATCAAAGTAATTTCTGAAAACTGACATGTGCTCAACGTGTGTAACCGGTATTGGGCTCTACAGTTATGAATTTCTGATCTGTAAGGAAACCATAAGACAGGTGTACAAAAGTGTTTGGGTCTTTGGATTTGAATGAAAGCTGAACTCCTCCAGGTAAGCTCTTTATTGCATACTTACATTGGCCCGGCTTGGTACAGTGTAAGTATGGTTTGTCATACCTAAGGGGCTGCTGGGGAAGCTGAAAATCTCTGTAGTACTCAGCACTACTACAGTGATCATTGCAATCTTCCAGGCCCTGTGCCAAGTGGCTGCCCCTCTAACCACAGGGGTTTGCTCGCTTGGCATTGCGGCGTGACGTCAGCAGCTGGGGTCCTCCCTCAGCTGTTGACGAGAAGCCCAGCTGCTGACGTCACGCCGCACAGGTTGCGAGGAAGGCCGGCTGCCATTTTTATTGTTCCTTAGCAGATGGGAGTGCATTCTCTTTCTATATCAAATTTTCTCAAATAAAATACTGCACTATCAAAGATTCTTTCTTTGGCTCGTTATTTAATGAGCCCCCAATATGGAGTCCCACAACATGCCTATTATATGCCCAGCTATTTGGTCTACGATATCGGACGTGATGTCCCTGGAGCCTGTGTGTGAGATCTGCTGATCACCTGACGTGCTGACGTGTGCCAGATGATTCGTAACATCCCCATCCACATCCAGATAACCATGACGGGATTATTATACACAAATGCGCTTATAAATTGTGCTTCTGGTTAGTGCAATGTTATATAAAAGCTGTCAGCCACTGAGTCACGGATTTCACCAATATTTATTATTATTTCTTCATTTGGACTTTATCATGTCATACATGGATCACTAAAAGTCACTTAATTAAATTTTTTCACTGTATGTATGTGTACACCATACTGATACGTCATAATCAGATGATACCACAATATATTTATATCACTCATAGCGCTTTTTAGCGCCTGCACTTATTTTCTCACATTAATATTTTCTGAGCGCTGGATTTCTGTATTACATATTGTACCTGACCTGGCCACTACTGCATATAATGACTGACTGTCAGCTGCCTTAGACTCCTTAACACCCCATAACCACACGAAGCATTAGACCCCAACCGCTTCAACCCTGGCAGAACGACCACACTAAAAATCTTAAACGACGCAGTCGTGCGCTGGAGCGATTATGGCGCAAAACCAGATCCCCTCAAGCATTCTCCCTCTACAAATCCGCCTTCCTCACCTACTCCTCCTCCCTCCACGCCGCCAAACAAGCCTACTTCGTAACCCTCATCAACACCCTCCACCTGTCCTCGCCGACTCTTCTCCACTTTCAACTCCCTTCTCTCTCCCCACCCCCACCCAGTACCTCACTCACTGCCCACGAGATTGCCAATCACTTCCAAAATAAGATCGACGCAATCCGTAAGGACATCGCCAATGCTCAACCTACCTCCCCACCTAGCCTCCCTCCCACCATAACCCCACCAACTCTTCCCTCCTCTGACCTCGCAACCACCCTACCCCCCACCACACCTAACGTCCCGCACACTATAACCTCCCAACACTCCGCTCCTTCAGCCTTGCTACCACTGAGGAGGTCACTAAGGTCTTCTCAGAAGCCCGCCTCACCACTTGCCCCCTTGACCCTGTCCCCACACAACTCCTCCGGTCACCCTCCTCCTCCATCCTACGCTCCCTCACCCACATCTTCAATCTGTCCCTCTCTACTGGCGCATTCCCCTCCCCCCTAAAGCACGCGCACATCACCCCCATACTCAAAAAACCCTCCCTGAACCCCACCGACCTGAACAACTTTAGACCCATCTCCCTGCTGCCATTTACTTCCAAGCTCCTTGAGCGCTTAGTCTACAATCGCCTAAGTACCCACCTCACTGACAACAACCTCCTCGATCCACTACAGTCTGGCTTCCGTCCCCTACACTCCACCAAAACCGCCCTACTCAAACTCACTAATGATCTGCTAACCGCCAAAGCTAATGGCCACTACTCAGTCCTCTTACTCCTCGACCTTTCCGTGGCCTTCGACACAGTCGACCACCCCCTCCCCCTTAACAAACTACACTCCCTCTGCATCAGAGACTCCGCTCTCCCCTGGCTCTCCTCCTATCTATCCCAATGCTCCTTCAGCGTTACCTATAATGCTACCACCTCCCCCTCTCTCCCCCAAGGCTCGGTCCTCGCGCCCCTTCTCTTCTCCATCTACACCTCCTCCCTCGGCAAACTGATACACTCCCACGGCTTCAACTATCACCTCTACACCGATGACATGCAAATTTACCTCTTCACCCCTAGCCTCACCTCTTCAGGCTCCGCCTGTATCACCCACCTACTGAACAACATAGACTGGATGTCGCTCCATTTCCTCAAATTGAACCTTTCCAAAACCGAGCTCGTGATTTTCCCCCCAGCCCGTGCCCCACCCCCCACCCTCTCCATCACGACCAACAACGCCACCATCAGTCCCATCCCGCAAGCCAAAGTCCTAGGTGTCACTCTAGACTCAAACCTGTCCTTCCAACCCCATGTCCAATCGATGGCAAACTCATGCAGGCTCCACCTCCGCAACATCTCTAAAATACGTTCGTTCCTAACCCCAGACACTACTAAACAACTCGTACACTCCCCTATTATCTCACCTCTGGACTACTGCAACTCCCTCCTCACCAGCCTACCTCATCGCAGACTATCCCCGCTTCAGTCTATCCTGAACTCAGCGGCCAGAATCATCCACCTTACCAACCGCTCCGCTTCTGCCACACCCCTCTGTCATTCCCTCCACTGGCTCCCGATTGCCCAACGCATTAAATTCAAACTACTAACACAGACATACAAAGCCATTCATAACACTGTCCCAAACTACCTCACCGACCTGATACCCAAATACCACCCAGCCCGTACTCTTCGCTCCTCATAAGACCTCCTACTTTCTAGCTCCCTGGTCTCCACCTCCCACGCCCGACTGCAGGACTTCCCCCATCCTGTGGAACTCACTACCCCAATCCATCAGACTGTCACCTAACCTTTAGGCGCACCCTGAAAACCCATCTCTTCAGGGAAGCCTACCCCGCCATCACCTAACAGCCGATCTCCTCCACTCCTCCTACCACTCCATCCCCCACAGCCACTTCCTCCTGTACCCCTATCCCCTCCCTCCTAGATTGTAAGCTCGAAAGAGCAGGGCCCTTGAATCCCTCGTGTTTTGTTACTGTATTGTCTCATGTACTGTCCCCCACTATAATGTACAGCACTGAGCAAACCTTTTAGCGCTATATAAATACTAATAATAATAATAATACTTAGAGGGTCTGAGGTTTTACCTTCATGCAAGCGACTTGTTACCTAGTGCTCGTATTTTTACCTTTTTATCATATTCAATTGTCCAATTACTTTTGGTCCCTTGAAAAAGGGGGACGGCTATTCTTAAGAGCTGTCATTCCTAAACCCTTCCTCCAATATGGCTGTACATACCCTCAAATGAAACCTGAGAGTGCACACTTTCAGCCCATATCCATTATATAAGTATAGCTTGAATATGTTTTGATAAATACCTTAAAAAAAAAAAAAAACAACCTTAACTTGTGCCTGTGTCCAAATATATATGAACCTAACTGTAAGTATGCAAAAAGATCAAAGCTGCAGTTCAGCTTTAAAACCTGTATGAGGTGTGCAACATTTTGAACATTTGAGACGTCAGACCCATCATGTAAAGATCTTTCTCGCCTTGTTGACACACAAATAAAAGGCAAATGAAGGAAATGTTCCTAATCTCCTAAGAAGTAGTAGCATCACGGATCCAGCATGAAGCTACTGTACTTGGTCTCTGTGCAGGAGTTCCTGATTCTTTGTGCAGAGTTACTGGTCTCATATTCATCCCCTCATGCAGTTTTCTACAGATGGCCTGTAGTGGTGGGTCTTCTGGGTCCCATAGCTCTGTTCTTGGCACAGGCTATGCAAAATGGTGATGCTACAGTTACTCTTACAGGTTGATAGCATTTGACGCACACAAGTGAACTGACCTGATGTAAACATGCGCTGCACGTGACAAAAAAGCCTCTTTTATGCCAGGGAAAAGTGTGCTGCTATGGGGGAAATATACTAAAACTGGAGAGTGCAAAATCTGGCGCAGCTCTGCATAGAAACCAATGAGCTTCCAGGTTTTATTGCCAACGCTGAATTGAACAAGCTGAAGTTAGAAGCTGATTGGCTACCATGCACAGCTAGACCAGATTTTGCTCTCTCCACTTTAGTAAAGCAACCCCTATGTTTACTTTGTATTTTAATGGTTTTTATTAATTTTAAACAGTATAAAACAGAGGCAACAAAACACGCCCACGCAGGGGCTATCAATTGCACCGATAGAAAATGTATAATAGAGCAGACAACGCTCTAATTCCAATAAGGCAAAACGTATGCCCACGTAGGGGCTATCAATGGCACATAGGTAACAATAACATCAGTGAAACTCAGATTATCGCAACTAAAGACAGCTGTCCACTGTCACTTCAAAACAAACAGAAAAGGAAAGAAGAAAAGCAGAGAAGAAAGAAAGAGAAAAAAACAAAAAACACACACCAGAGAGCAAGGGTCCATGAG